TGAATTAGAAAAGTCGGAAATGAAGCAGCGTATGAAAAAATAATCTGTTATGTATAAAAAGGGGTTAAATAAGAAGCAGAAAGAATGTAGGCAAACATCGATTGCGGAGGTTTTGCGGCTAGAATCGTCGTCGCAAGCGTTTTTGCTTCGTTTGGCAGCAGCCATGCCTGGAATAAGTAATAAGCGATACGTAAGCCAAAGGGAAAAAAGCGAATCGAGAACGCAGCGCAGAATACATAAGAAACCGAAAAGAACGGAGCTTGTGCGAACAGGCAGTGTATCAGGCGGCGGCAGTTTGTTACAGTGGGAGGGAAGTATTTGGAGAAGTGGAATCTGTTTTTACGCATGAAAGCACAAAGTAGGCGGTGAAGGCGATCAGGAGGAAAACCTTTAACAGTGTAATCAAGAAGCAGACGACGAGCCGAAGAAATGAATCCTTGAGGGGAGGACTCAATGCGTAAATATCTTATAATCTGACTATAAATTGTATCATCCTGGACAGATGGGTGCACACTGCTATGAAGCGAAGAATACTTGTTAATGGAGTACTTGATGTGGTCACCTTTACAATAAAGTGTGGAGCCTATCCGAGCTTCTTCATCTAAGAAAATAGTCATATCTAGGTAATCAACAGAAGTCCCGGAACCAGTGTTGTCGATATCCAGGTACTGGTAATATAAGTTCAAAAGAAGCGAGCGAGAATGAGGGCAATTAATCACGAACAGGTCGTCAACATATCGACAAAGGAGGAATGGAGGATTGCTGGGGATCCTGCTAAACTTGAATTCAAGTACCACGAGAGTGAAGTCAGCAATATCGGAGCTTGCATTGCTCCCATAGGGATGCCCTTAACCTGGCGAGAATTGTAACCGCCAAAACGGATATAGGCTTCGCCAACTACCGTGCGAAGGATATTGTCGATTTCGGTAGAAGAATAGACTATACCGTAACGAAATGATCGTGTACGGTTAAGATAATAAAGTGGTAATATGAAAAGCGTCGACCCGAACATTGTGAAAACACAAGGAGAAAAGTTAACCGAACGCGTCGTAAATGACATGATGAGGCAGTTTTGTGAACAAAGTTGAGAAATAAGCAGTATGAAAATTTTGAACAGGGCCACATTCACTGACGAATGCGACCACCTCGCTGGAGTTCTGAACACTGTGAAAGAGGCGTTTACGTAACCTGCGCTGTAGCACTGGTGCGCAATTGTATAGATGCCCACGGAAAAATTGGAGTTCGCGATGGAGAAGGATGTTTAAAGGCTTAATAATGGACCGTACAGCGGAAGCGATAAATCGAAAGGAATTTTGTGGGACTTGGTCACAACATAGATTAAGGGCAAGATCTTGTTTTCATCATCCAAATGTAGCTGGAATCTCTGAAGGAGGAGATCGTGACGACTAGAATGAGAGGAACATTATCGTGAACGGCGCTGTAGAAATCGTTACCAAGAACTTCAAAATTTTTAGTATACCTGGCTCCTGTCTGAGCACGGTTATATAAAGTAACCTGCAGGTGAAAGCGAAATTGTTAGGGGCCTTGCCGACAGGCGTAATCACTAGTATACGTCGTTGACGTCGAGAACGAGCCAGGAGATTGGAGGAGGTAACGTTGTGAAAGGGATGACAATTAATATAGAAACTATCTAGGAGGTGGAGAGCACGAAACAGGACAGCGTCACGGGAACTATAGCGCTAGGATGCTCTAGGCGATATTTCCGGACAAGCAGGCGAATGTATGTTGTGAAGGTAGTGACGAAACGATTAAAGACCTCAGTAGAGTGCAAACTCCTAGGCAGCCGGAAATTACATTCTAAACTAAAATAGTTTTCTAAGAAAGCATCACTTAGCACACATATGTCGCCGGTGATTATGTGGCCGAGAGGAGGATTTACAAGCGAGTGGAGCAAGTGTTTCGGACAAAGGCAGGTGTATGTAAAATGGCTGGGTTCAGTCAACTGTATTTAATAGGGAAATGTGTTGAAGAGAACGCGGTCTAAAGGGGGGTCATATCCAAAAGCTAAGTTAAAACGGGGGACCGAAATGCCGTCACATAAGCGGCAGATTGTGCTATTATGAACCAATCTACCGTAACTAAGACGGTTTTAAGCAAATCCTGGGTAAGGCATGGCGGCGCGAAAAGCTTTGTCATGGACAACGTTTTACTGGGAAGCTGGGCGCATAGCAGAAAGAAGGGAGCTAAGAACACGCCAATGAAGAGCACCTGGCAGATTAGCTCTGTTTAAACGACAAAGTGCAGGCGAGAAAGTTCGGCTGCTTTGAACATTACGGGCTTGTACGTAAGTTTTTAGTTCAAGGGGGGAGCCGAAAGACTTGGAAAACGTAGTATCAATGAAGGCATGATTCATAACCTTAGATGTCCGGCGCATTCGCCCCAATGCGCGATAGAACCGAGGAAGCCTTACGGAGTAGTAAGGAATAATTTTACGACTATAATTAGCATCCTGAGTAACTACCCTAAAACCCTTAATGTGGTCATTAAGACCATAAGGATTGATAGTCCGAAGTAGACAAATCCAAATGAATTCTGCATCAGTCAGTCGATGCGCATCATCCACGATCTCGAGGATTTGAAAAGATATATCAGTCACCGAGTGTCCCTGTCTGCGGAAATGTGTATAAAGGACATTGTTAGAGGTATCACGAGCGACACTGCGTATATACTCTAGCGCTCTAACTCATAAGCACCGCATAGTCTGGCCAGCATACTGTAGCCCACAGCGTTTGCATGTACTGCAGTATACGACCCCACGTGTCAAACAGGTGGGCGCACCGCGGGGCACGAAGCATGTCGCGACAAAGCGTCTACCTGAAACGAAACCACTAACATGCGGCGAGCGAGAAGTGAGGGACAGCACTCGCAGCTACGTCCGCAAGGCACCGTGTGAGGAAGGGAGCAAGTTGGTAGGGCGAGAAGAAATATCATAAGGGCCTGGGTAGATCATATAGTAAACAGGGGGAAGGTGCGGAAGCCTACTTCTGTAGCCAATAAGCGCGCCAGGGACGCAGACGCTTGTTCGTTCCCAGACGATCAACCACCTGTAGCCAAAAGACTCGAGCCGGACACAGGCAGTCGCCCATCCGATTGGCCTGTAGCACCCAGAAAGACGCGTGAACCCATGAAGTTACGCGGTATCTTCATAGTGAGAAGCGTGTTTTTGCATGAGTTGTCCCAGACGTACACCACAGAAAGCAATATGGCGGGAAAGGGAAGTCAGCCAGGGGGTATAGTAATTAGGAGCCTGCCGCTCCAAATAAAGAAGTGGCCTGAAGGCATTGGTGGACCAACGGGTTATAACGCAAAAAATGTTAAAACATTTGCAAAATTCACGAAGATGAAGTTGAAATCTTATACATGTTTATTTGAAATCAGTGGGTATTTAAAAGGCAGTTGGTCGAAAAAGCAGAAATTATAAAATCAAGCAAAACGGACAACGTGAGTAACCTTGCCAGAAGGAAAAGGCAGGAGGGGCGGGGGCGGAAAGGGGACCAAGTTTGTAGGATCCATCTGAGGAGGGAAAAAATTTATTGAACAGAATATGTACCAAACAACCCAGGCTGCAGAGCACTAGACTACTTATCCAAAAGAATAGTTAGCCTGGTGCTTTGCAGCCTCGGTTGTTTGCTGTAGCAGCGTTATAATGCTGCACAACAAGAACCCACAAAAACGTACTATAGATAGAACAGCAAGTGACTTGATTAAATTTCCCTACTTTTTGTATTATAAAGGGAAACATTTCCTTGTAGTGAGTATCATTGCGGAAATGATTTCGGACGTGCTCGGTTTGCTGTTCGGCCAAATAGCTGTTCTTGCAATGCTGCGCTTATTCAAGACCATGCCCAGGCAGTGGTTTCGTGAGCACATCCATCCCGCCATTCGATGGGTTTTGCGATGTGGTATGCCAAACTGTGCTTCTCGGAATATCAGGTAATTCCACTATAGCAGTTTGGTGAGAAAAAAGTTCAGTGTTAATTTTCTCAGTGATTGTTCTGCACTTTTTAATCTCATTAGTTCATTTTTATGCGTTTTTTCAAGTATACAAATGCAAAACCGCATATTTTGACTATTCATGGTGTGCATATGTGGGTATTTGTGTATGTGTGTGTACTTCTGTCCTGGTATTTCAGTTCGGCAAACAAGCAAGCTTTACCGATGAAATTTTGCTAGTGGGTTTCCTGGCCAAGCATCACCTTAGAGTCGCAGCACCAACCTTCTCAAACACTCGAGCTCCGCGTACGGGCGCGTGAGAGTTTTGGCAGGAAAATTTTAAACTCACGCACCAGAAAAGCTGGATAACTAAAATTTAAAGGGGATGTTCTTACCCAAGTAAAACTTAAAAGTTTCAAACTCAGCGACTTGGTATGCATAGTTCTTAACATAAATGGTTGAAAGTTTTGGCAGGAAAATTGCCTACTGAACAGCTAGAAAGATCTTTCAACGAAATTGTTCATTTTTCTTTATGCAAAACTTACGCTGGAAAGCGCACAAAGTAAGTGTAAAGCAGCTGCCATTCGACATAATAGCTTTAGATCTAGTGCAAAAACACACGATCGAACCGGCAAACCCAGTGCGTCCCGCCTAGAATCTTTTTCACGAGCTGCTTTAATATATACAGCATTTTTCCGATTCTCACAAGTTGTACAACTCACAAGAGATTCGAATCTTAGGAATTTCCCATTGCGAGCCATCTTCTAAGATAAATAAGCTAGAAATAGTGACTGGGTAAGAGAAATACATTAAAATAGTTTCCATTTTTAATTCAGAAAAAGCCCTTTTATTATTAAAAGAAATGCGATTCTGGGTAAATACTTCAATTACTTATTTTTAATAATCTGAAAGAAATCTGAAAGCAAATTCGGCATCGCATTCGAACGTGGAAAAGGATGATGGTGAAGCAAAGGCTATCGTAAAAACGATCGAAAAAGCACTTCTCAATTTGCGAAACTATGATTTGCAACTGCTACACTTTGAAGAGACATTTATTGGCTCGTTGGTCACTCTGATGGTCATCTTTTGCATCCTCTTCACCCTCGGACTATGGCTACGACGGCTGTTTTATTTGTTGTCAAATGTAACCAATTACGTAAATTTTGAATTGTGTGATAAGGAAGTTTAGATAATTGCTACATTCGCAAGCTTATGGTTTAAATTAATGTCGTATCTTAGCCGTTGTAGAAATTCTTGACCAATATCGCTCGAAGCACTACTGCGTTAAGCTTTGCGTGAGAGCTGCGAATGAACGTCACGAATTTTTTAATCGAAATCATTAAACTGTAAATCTTTGAACTTTCATTCAAAAATTTTGAAGGAGTCTTCACTATACACTAGCGAAAGTTGCTTGATAATAAAAGACGGGTCGTCCACTGGTTTTACAATTTATAATTGTTTAAGGATTTTTTGGGGGTATGCTAACTTTTCAAGCAGGTTTAGAAATACTGCAGAGACGCCCTCTGCATTAAGACGCCCACTTTTGAGTAACTACATTTTTCATTTCTCAGTCCTCAAATAAGAAATTGTTTCCCTGAACGATGTGCTGTTGAAGTGTTATTTGCACTCTTTTTTGCACTTATTTAAGAAAACTGGGCGATGTCTTCTAAATTTAGGATGTCCAATTGTCCTGCTGCTTCTTTTTGTTTCTTCTGTTGCCAGCTTTTGTGCTGCTTATTTAATTTTTTTACTGCTTCTTTTTCACTTTTTATTCGACTTTATTTGCTTTTATTTGCATTACTCGTCTTTTTTAATCTTACAGAGGCTAATCGGTAGCGAGTCTTGCTGGCTGCTTTGTGATTGTTTCCGACATATTTCTGGCCACAAACACAACATTCAAAAAATTGTTTTTAAGGAACAAGTGGAAAAGATAGCTGCAAATGCGGAAGAACCAAAGGAGAAAGTGAACACAGTTTCTACCAAATTGACGCTGAAGCAAGTGAATAATTTTTTAATGTTTCAGACTTAACAGCCCATTCTGTTTTTATCACGTTCCAAAAGCACTAAACTTGTCCTTCTGACCAAGCAAAAGCTGATACGATCAGTTAGGGGGGACCCAACTGCCGTGCCTTACGACGGTGAATCTTGCACAGCGCAGTCTTGTTTCTGGTGCCTGCGGGTAAGTGAGCAGTTCTAATCGTTTCAGAGTCAACGATAACAGAGAAAAGACATTTTCACAACCCACCATTTTTTCAACGTTCTGTGCTCAGTACTCCGATTTGATCGCTCAGTTTTTTTTTTCATGTTCCATGCTTGCTTTTCGTTTGTTGAATTTAGTATTTAATTTGCTGAAGGAGCGGCTCCCGCCAAAATAAATACGGATTGATGTGTGCAACTGGCAGTAGGCGATCATTTTAGTGGAGCTTGATTAGACTACCTAGTAGAACCAAAAAATTCCTACAGTCAGCAACACCCCCTTTTTTGTCCCTTTCTTTTATACATAATTCACTATCTTTTAGTTGTTATTTTGGCCAGAAAAGTTGCTACCTGAAAGCCTTTTTTTGAATTAACGTGTAGATAAGTCGGTATTAATTTTCGCATGCCACTATAACTGACGGCGGTGCACCATAATACGAGAAGGCTAAGAAAGATTCTTCAAGGCCAATAATGATTCTTTGCAAGAAGAGTTAGCAGTAAGCACGAAAAATCCAGCTTATTCATACTGAAGCACATAATAATTTTAATGAAATTGTTTCGGCTAGTAGCATGTGCGGAAATGCAAGTTCCACCATTTCTTGAAAAATCTATCAAATTTTCTCAAAAAAGTTGCTAATAATTTTTCATCTTTTTAATTTTGGCTCTATATAGCTATGCAAATTAGAATCTCTACTAGTCACTAATGCTCGATTTGGCATAGATGGCAAAGACTCTTTTGCGGATGATGTAATGCTCATAGCCATAGCCAAGGCAAGCCAATGCAAAATCTGTTAACTGAGCTAAACAGCAGTGCTGGCGCTGTTGGACCCAGTATTCAAAACCTGAAAAACGAATGGATGAGGAGTGAATACTTCCATCAGTTCCACATAAAACTGGAAAACCAGAAAGTTTAGTTTACAAACCCACCCATCTAACTGAGGAAGGGGAAATAAAGATGGAGATTTGCATGCGAAGCTAAGCTGAGTGAAAACAGGAGAGACTGCACACACAAAACTTTGTGAAATTTCAGAAAAGAAAAACATTTTGCATAAATGCAGGGCTTCCCAAAACTACCATTCAGCTGTTAGTACTTTAAAAGCGTGGGATGCCATTATCACAGGAACGAGTGGGTTAAAACCCATTGGAGAAACAGGCTACGACACGTAAGTTTTGAGACAAAAGATACGATAAAGGAATCATCTAACAGTAAGAGAAATAGAGGAACTGACCTTACGGCGAGGATGGTACATAGCGAAGAGGAGAATGGTAAAAATGGTACCCATTCTTAATAACAAATTGGCCATTTCCTTCACTTTGGCCAGTTAAAGTGAACTGAGTCCCATTTTAGTCAAACCTTTTGAATAGACTTCCTATTGAATAAAAATAGCATCTGAAATTTTATAATAGGGCGAAGCAGAAAAGCCATCAGCAAGCAAGCACGTACAAGGATATGCTAAAACACTGCCAAATCAGGTGAATAAATTTTTGAAATTTTGTTTTAATTTCATAGAACAATAAATGGCGATTGCTTTTTATGTGATTTTGCGCTGCATCACTCAACAAAGCTGCAGAAAGAGGAGCTTATTTTTGTTATATATATATATATATATATATATATATA